GTTGAAATTAATTCAGTTGAAAGATCCCTTTTTACCTTTTTGTGGTAATGCTATGTGGACCATAGCCACATTTATTAATGTCAAGTTACTTCCTGTAATGAGACGTCATTTACAACTAACAAACGTAGATCATTAGCTTATTAGAACAGTCGTACCGAGAGGTACTTATTTAACGTATTTCAGCTATCAGTAACAGCTGAAATCGTTTCAGGTGGAAATTTATTGGAAACCTGCTGCATGAAGACAATCTATTATATGTTGCCTTGAAATTAATTTTTAAGAGCATAAATTTAATTTGAATGATATTTTCAAGATAATCTTAACGGGATTTTACTTTTTCTGTATCAGCGTCTTCATGAAACAATTTCATGGTAAATGTCTTTCCAAAAAGAATGCCCCGAACATATCTCGATATGATCTCGATATGTCTGTATTGACATGTACATATTGATATGTACATCTCGATATCTCGATATGTCCGTATTCCGTGCTCTAAAGAACGGCAACAAATATTATCTGAATCAAAATTGAGTTTTTACGCAATTGCAGCCAACTTAGAAAAATTATGATTCTTTATTTCTGGCCGTGCCCATACGCATCGCCAAAAAAATACACGGCCAAGAAGGAGTTGAGCGATCGTGATAAATTTGGTACACAAGCTCATATTAGCATACTTTGGAATAGACTAGAATTTAAAATGTGTGGAATTAATATTGATGGAGAAAACATAGCACCTAAATGGCTTACCCAAGTCTACAAATAAAGCATGGAAACTACCTTTCCGTTGGTTCACAGCACGAGTTTCAAGGGTGAACGATGCATACATGGTAATTTTAACCTTCCTTCAATAACCATTCGGCTTACGGTCCGGTTTGAAAATCTTCCAGTCTGAGAAATTCCCCATAGGAACGCTCTCGAATCGAGCCGAGATGCAATGTCGATAATTCCAGAAGTGGTGCTTTAGATTCCGACCGTGTTGCTTTCAGCTCGATAAGGGAGCATGACGAAAGACGGAACCGGAAGTTTTTAAAAGCTACTCTTAGGTGATTGTGGAATGATTTCGAAGCCCTTCCGCGGGAATTGTAATAAATTTCGTCGCCCTCGTTAGTACTAACGCTGCATTTTTGGAATGTGACTCGTCGGGATTAAATGTCACTTCATACTGAAGATCTCACTCGAGTGCTGAACGTTAATTATCACATCAATTCGTCGAGAAAAGCAATGCTGAAATCGTCGAAAGCAAATTGAAAGGGAACTGTCAAAGTTGCTTTTCTGTAGAAGCCGTCTGCTCGTCGATAAGCAAGTCTTGAAGCTGCCATATTGTTGACACGTAAAAAAATTCACAAGAAGCAAGGAATCGGGCTTCTGATAATTCCATGCGCACTGGGATGAATATGCTCTGACCCTCATGAAAATCCCAGACCATTCAGCATTTGTTGATTGAGTGTGGAAGGGTGTTGAAGCAGTGCTGGAGGGTGTTGAAGCACCCCCCGAAGTTATGCATACTCGGTCTAGGTCAACGATGTCACCTCCTTAGGGCATTTATTCCTTCATTCAGACTGCCAACGTTTTACCTGCAATCAGGGTTCTTCTTACATCCATATGCATAGGTATAATAGTCAGAGGCATCTTCCCAGGAAGATGTCACCATAACAGCACAATCAAAAGGACCGTTCCGCGGGTAATCACGGTCCCATCTCTGAAACCTAAGGGGAGTGGCGTCAACCTATTCCCAATTTCCACCTGCATCCTTTGCCAGACCTATCCGAAATTCCGTGCTGTCAAGGATGCTTCCAAGAGAGGAAAGAAAATTTTTGTTACCGAACTCGAAACTGGCAAACATCTGATGAGACTCGTAGGATACACTGAACATGTCTGAACTTGGATATTCCAAGCAATATCGCCTCGCATCCTCAAAATTCATTTTCGAAGTTGATAGATGGATGTAGAAAAATAAGGAACTATGCCAATTTCCTCCATGACGAGTGTCAGAGCGGCAAAAAACTCGTCTCTTCTCTTGACAGTCGATATTTTGCCATTTGTATTCCACACGTGAAAGAGGAAACACTAAGAGCCCATGATCCATCCCATACATTTTGATGGTGATGCCATCGAGAAATTTAAAGTTTCAAGGACTTAAGTAGAGCCCAGTCGGCTCTGCCCCGATCCATAGTTTTGGCCTTTCGCCAAGATTCTGTTGGAACATCTGTTTCCATTGAGAATGAACACTAGTAAGATCCCCTCCCTTTGCCAGACAGTCGTTGCGGGCAATGTCGAAATTCATTTAATCTTCAGAAAAGTAAAAACAAAACTCCCGGAATTCCTGCCAATTCTCATCACATTTTGAAGAAGTTACGAAAGACAACTTGAATCAAAACCAGCGTTGGTTGTCTGAATTTGAAAATAAATTGATGGTGAGGTTCTTGCCGACAAACTCGATGGTCCGCGGATGATCCTTAGTGTGACCCTTTCAGATGAGACATCGCCAAGTAATCACCGTCGATGCAGTCGTCCGTCGCTTCCAAATTGAATTCCAGGAAAGACAGCATGGTTTTTCACGTGACTGGCGCCTGAGACAAAAGTGGAGCAGTGAATGGTGCACCTTACTCCCCAAATCGAATCATGATCACTGAAAATGTTATTGTAAGTTATTGAACCTGGCACAATTAAAAGACAAGACGAATATGATTTCCATGAGAGTCATTACAGTCCAATTCCCTCAGACAACAATAAAGGCTCGAGCTACCCTGCAAATTGTTTTCACTGAAAGGCATTATTGAAAAAATGTTTCCAACAATTAGCAGTTTTCAATATATTATTTGTTTTCACAATTGGTGGGAATAATCATAATGAAAATCTGTTTTAGATGTGATTACCCGATTATATATGCTATTAAAGTAAGTTACTTAGTTTTTGTAAACAAATGTGAACCCATAATAATGAATTCATGAAAGCTTCCATGCCTTGCATGGATGTTACTTTTCATTTTTCATTTTCCAACAAATTTCCTCGTAATAGAGGGGAAGAAACGTTTCTCGCTAGACGTTCATCAACATGAACATTGGTAAGATTCCAGGAGGAAATTACCCGAATTTCTTATTGCCAGCTGGAATCAGGGGGATAGGATTCCGGGTATCACGGAGATGTGAGAGTCTCCGAGGACGCTGCCGCAATCCTGCGCTGTCAACTCCCCAAACAAGCAAAATATTCCCATTAAGGAAAAGTGCGACGACTGCAATCGTTTTTCAAGGAGAAGTTCAAGTTCCGCTTATAAAAAACAAATGTCCAATAAATGGAATGTTTTGGAAGAAGTTGTGACGAGAAGACTCACGAACATCATTTCGAAGCTGATGCGGATGTCGAAGATTCTTGTTGAGCGACACTCTGTCTGAAAAGCCGAGCAGCTGGTCTGCTCCTTTTTTTTACGGAGGGACGTGATGTAATGGTCATTTTCGCATTGGGAGGGCAGGATCCGCGGAAAACGCAGGCGAAAACCTAGAGGAAATAATGTCACGTTTCTTGCATCTCTCTCTCGGCATCACAGACAAGGAGTCAAAAATTGGCAGCAGAGAGTTTGCGAATGCCTTGAACCACTCTCGATTGTACCTAGGTATTGGGACTTGAGAACTGAGCAACACGAGTCACTCGGATTCCAAGGCAGAGAGATCCGAGTGGACGAGGAAAAACAAATTTCTGCCATCCTGCCATTGACATGAAAACCGAGAAACAAATTTTGGGATTTCCTTCCTCTTTCTGTGCTCTTTGCAGGCAGGCATCTACAAGGTGAGAAATCCGTGGTGGCGAGAATTTCTACAACAGCTAGCCGATTCTCTCGACTTGAAGGCCGGTGAGCAAAGGAGATCAATATGCAACATTTCAGAATAGATAACATTCTGAAATGAAATAGGTTTTTTTCGAGTCACATGGGATGGGGGTTGTAAATTAGGTCTAACGTGGGAAGTGGTAACGATGGATATTACAATATTGGCAATAGAAACGACGTATATGTGAGCCTAGGTATTACATACAAAATATTACTACAAGTATTGGGACAAAGGACGATATGATAACCAACTATCACTTTCGAACTCCGTCAGCTCCGATCCACTCGCCATACTGACAAGCACTCACTGTTACAGATTTCACGGAAACGTATGATCCATGGTTCATGTCACAGAGGTGAACGCATTGTGTTGTCTGGAACCCGATTTGGGGCGACTAAGGCACTTATCTCAAGGCTGAGGGGAGGATTAAAGACAAATATTCAAGAGAGTCAAAATAAAGCTTTCTAGGAATCAGTTATCACGGTCGCATGGTGGCACATGACACTTGTGAATTTGTTGAAGTAGATTCTCTGGAAAATGAAGATGTCAAGATGAGGAAATAAAATGTAAGGGTCGTCAAATTTCACGATGCTTTATATTTCAGGATGGCGATGGCTCAATGCGGAAAACGAACCCCTGGGACTTCAGAATATACCTTGCTTTTGGGCGCCAAAGGCGCATCAGATACCCGAGACCATAATTGGAAAGGGAAATTAAAAAATTACTCGTTTTTCTGTCAGGTGAATGGATGAATTGCTTTAGATACGTTTCATGGCACTGTGAAATAAATCTTTCGAGCCCCATATTAAACAATAAACCACTCTACAGGTTATTTATATTTTAAGGGAATCTAGATAAATCAGATCCTTCAAGCCATACTTATCTGAAGAGGTGATGACTAAATGGTCTCTCATTCGGACAGTCTGGGGATGTCATAAGATGGCAGTACAACTCAATTCCAGTACCAGTTCTCATCAAGCAGCTCGACCGTTCATACACTGGCTCCCTTTGAGTGTAGCAGAGTAAGGTGCTTTTGGGTATTCCTTCGTGAATTAGAATAACCTGTTTTTCAGTATAAATCTCTTGAATATATCTGATAGGACTGTAGTCTACTGACGAGCACCTGCAGGCCACACAGAATAAAAAATTTCAGAGAGTCTGAGAATCCTGCCCCTCATGGAAGTCGCCCCAGTTCTCGCTAAATTCACAAATGAGCTGGAGTTCATCAACATCGACGATATATACCATGATCTGTACGTAGCTGGCATCGTGCCTCACGGGGAGTACTTCGAAGTGAGGAAGGTACCGAGCTTCAGGGAGAGATTGCTCTCTTTGCAAGAAAACCTCCCTCGCAAAGGAGATGATGCCTTCCCGACGTTCTTGCAGTGTCTAAGGAAAAGAAGCCATGTAGCACTCGCGGAAAAAATGGAAAGAGGTATGTATGGCATGTGAAAGGTTGTCATATGTATGCATGTTGGTGAGTGGCGCCAGATAGATGATTCTGTTCCATCAAGTTTCATTGAATTTATTATCATTTAAGGATAGTGTATCAATTCTAATAATGCATCTTCGCAAAAGTGTAATTAGCAAAGTATTCATTCAAAAATGAAAGTAAATTTCAGTACATTGAAATTAATGACAGAATGGCGGAGCAAGAGGCCGGGTGGCAAGACCAAGTCATCGATTCCATATTCAGAGGTAAGCATAAAATCCTAGCAATCCTTGGCTAAGTCCTTCATTCGCCCTGTAGTTTCGAATTTAAGTATGAGGTAAGTTACGGTGAATTACCCGAAATGCCAATCTTGTATGAGCATTGTAGCATATGGTCTCTTTCAGCTTGATCTTCCGGTGAGTGATTAAGGCTATCGAACACCTCCTTTTTAATTTCCATGAGAAATTCCTCCATCGATTACAAAAAGTGATGGAGACCAATGGGTTAACAGTTGAAACCCATTTGCCATAATTGTTAAATATAGATGTATGTGCATTGCAAAGAAGTCCTTGTCGTAAAAATTATATTTTCTTCATATAGATTCCGTGAAAACGCGCGAAGAACTACAATACCAATGCAATTAAAAAAATATCGAATGAAGTGACACGTTTTTTGTATTATATTCAATAAATTCTTGACTAAATGTACCAAAGTTTCTACTCAGAAACTTCAGTCCTCAGGCATCCATATTGTCCCTTCTGTGCACTTATTGGAGTGTCATTGTCTCATTATTTAATAATATGCAAGCAGCCTGAACTGAATCCTCGTGAGAGAAGTAAGCTGTCAAACTGCGCAACCCTAAAATGTAGTCCTCTATGCGGAAAATAAAAAAATTTTAAAGATAACTTCTCTAGAAAAGCAGAGCCCCTGGAATGACAAAATCGGAGACAGTCATCGCCACTATATGCTCGCCAGACATGCCATTATCCATGCTACATGACATCTTTTCCCCCAGTTTAAAATCAGCAGAAATCAGGAAACTTCACTAAAGCCAGCGGCTATCATGACAGGGCGACTACGTCTGGATGAAGGCGGAGGACAAGGGGCAGTTCGATGTTGCCATCGGTGCCCAGGTGGTGAAGATAGTCGCTGACAAGCTGTTCGTCATGGACGACGAAGGCAAGGTAAGAAATCCAAGAGAGGGATATTTAAGATCATGTTTTTCATTATAAAATGCATACTTGGTATCTCTGTTTTCGTTCAAATAAACTTTCCCTGATTCATATCATTCAGGAATAGCAGCGATGATTTCATAATCACTTCCTTTAATTTACATGGAATTAGGAAAGATAACATTTCTTCTAAAGGAATTGAAAATACGGCAAAGGAAAACATTGAGTTTACCTGCATACATTCATGTTTACATATTTTGATTGGATAATCTGTGATTCATGGTCACCATGGTTGATTTTGAGTGCCACTCATGGTTTTGAGCGAAAGCGCAATGCTTCATCATTCGGGACAAGAGCACGTTGGATATCTTTTGGGATTCCTATATCTACAAATGTACCGAGTGGAGTCTATAAGTATCTGCAAGTTCAAAGTCAACTCTCAACTTCATGGAAAGGCTTTTTTTTTTACTTTCATCGAAATATTTTACGCCTAGGACTTTTGTATCATTGTTTTTGTGGGCATGATCCTTCAAAGTTCTTCCCTCATGTTCTCCCTCAAAGTTTCGGATATCTCATGTATAACAATATGGATCTTTAATCAAATATATTATTTTCTTGACGTCCTTATTTAAAAGGCAAATTCAATTACGTCTCTGCCACAAGTCCCCTCGCCCAGGATCATAAGCAATCTCTTTGTTACAGTGGCAATCGGTGGCCCTGAGTCGGATATTGAAGTTGATGAACTCGACCTCCATTGAAGGAATGGATGACATGATCTCGCTGGGGGAACTTGACGAGGCCAGCATCCTTCGAAACCTCTTCATACGATACAAGAATAAACTCATATATGTGAATATCCTTTCTTTAATATATCATCCTATCCAGCAATTAAAAATGTAACTGATTTTAAATGTTGCTCAGCAAAGAAACGACAAGTTCAAATTGGGCCTTACTTTCCTTGTTTCCTACAAATATAAATGTAATACATATCTGATTTCGTTTTCGTAAATTCCATTGAAATTTACTTTTACGCGATATCTTTCTTCACGATTCAAGTTCTTGTGATTCCTTGGATATCCAGCCCGATATGAAAATCTAATATTTGTCGGATCTCGGCAGACATATACAGGAAGCATTCTGGTTGCGGTGAACCCCTATCAGTGCCTCCCCATTTACACAGCGGAAAGGATCAAGCTGTACCAGGATCGGAATCTCGGGGAGCTTCCTCCACACGTATTCGCCATTGCGGACAATTCCTACACTCGCATGAGAAGAGACGGCCAAAATCAATGCATCGTCATCAGGTTATATGAACTTCCCTGAGTTTTGTTGATTTCCTTTTCATTAATCGCTAATTTGAAGTGAATAACATCCTCATCCATCAGAATATACGAGGTACAATACCCTATAGAAACCCATGGGACTCATTGGTCTGCAATTTGGAATTTTGAGGAGTTTCAGTTTTCACATTTATTGAGGTGCCAGTTAACCACATCGCCACATATTTAATTTTTTGCCACTGAGTTTAGCTCCAAAACATTGAAGCTGATTTCAGTATGTATTGATACCCTCAGCAGGCTGAATTGTGTGTGCTACAGATGAAAGGAATGTAGTCGAATGTCGCAGCAATTGAATAAAAGTATTCCTGGATGAATACTATTGTCTAACATAACAATCGAAGGATATGAGGCACAGTTCGCCAGCAGTAGAACTTCGCAGTGAATGGTTAAAGAAACATATGATTACAGACGGCCAGGAGAATGATTACGTGTATTTTTAAAGTGATTAAATCCACCCACCTATTTAACTTTTAAGGTGATGCCTACTATATATCCACAATTTTTTTCCTCCAGTGGAGAGTCAGGAGCAGGAAAAACCGAAAACACAAAGCTTACCCTTCTATATTTGGCAGCCATCTCTGGCAGACATTCCCAGATTGAGCAGCAGATTTTGGCAGCCAATCCCATCCTAGAGGCATTCGGGAACGCGAAGACAATCCGAAACGACAACTCATCTCGTTTTGGCAAGTATACCGAAATCCACTTTAATCCCGATGGCGCAATAGTGGGGGCGCAAATCAAGCAGTATCTCCTGGAGAAAAGTCGGATCGTGTCCCAGGCTAACGAAGAGAGAAGCTTCCATATTTTCTACTCTCTGCTGGACGGATTGGATGCTGGGGATAAACAACGTCTGGACCTTGTCGATGCATCAAGTTACAAATATCTAACTGAAGGTTGCACAGCGAAATACAATGGACGGGATGACAGACCCAACTTCTCTCACATTCGATCGGCAATGAAGGACCTCGTATTTTCAGACTCTGAGATCTCAGACATCATAAAAGTCTTGGCTGTCATTCTCCACATGGGTAATATCGAGATGGAAGCACACACCATCGGTTCGTTGCATACCTACATATCTGACGTGATGCAATTGATGCACACAAATAGAATAAGACATGAATACGAATACATGATCACGAACGGATTTTTGCGTTTATATCTTTTTAAATACTAGAAGAGCGTAACATTGCAATAATACATTGTCTGGAAGGACATTTTGGGTCAAAAGTATTGCAGCGCTGACATATTTATAACACGCCAAAGAGTGTGATGGAACTAATTCCCTTGGTACTGTAATTTCCCTTCATATACGTAGATGACCAACAGCATTTGCTGAGGCCTACTTCTTACTACAATTTTGCTAATGAATGCATCCAAGATTTCCCCCCGGCATTTTCTTAGTTTCAGGACGAGCTGCTTGCAGCTTGTGGGACGGTTCATATTCTTGACCTCTTCCTTGAGAATCTGCTAGACATTTTCAATTAGATTTACGCATATGAGATTCAGGTCAGGGCTACGCCTTGTAACTGATCAGTCCCCCAGAGTGTTGGCAGGTTCTTTTGACACCAGGCAGTGGTGGCTTTGGAGGCATGACAATGGGCATTGTCATGCATGAATATAGCGTCTGACCATTTTTCAAGCAAGTTCTGCTCCAGAATTGATCCTCCTGTAGTCATCTTGTTATAGGCATCAAGTCCGTGCTTTTGGAGGATATTCTCCAGAGAATAAATTGCGCTCATAAACTTTTTTTGGTGGAATCATATGCAACTACCATATATGCCAGATGAGAGACCATCCCCCACCCAAAGATCCTCAATGGGTTCCTGACTGTGGGGACGGGAGGGAAAAATGCGCAGTTTTTGCACCAGATCCTGTCACACTCCGGGTTGAATAGCAGGAAAAGATGACGCACTATCTCATCTGACCATACATCACGTTCTCAATCTACACTAGTCCAGTTTTTGTACTCCACAGCAAACTTCAGATGCTTCTCCTTCATGGCGTCCAAAAGAAGGAGCTTCTTTGGCCCCTTTTTGGCCTTGACATTTGATTGATCATTTTCACACATCGCGTACCGGTCATTTTACCACGTCGATCGCAGTTCTGACCTAAGCCTCAGTTACCTTAGCTTAATGCTCGGCGCCTACAAGGCTTTGACTTTTTCGACACTAGGCTAGGCGAAAGGACTCGCGGAAGGATTCAGAAAAGGAGATCTCCGTGAGCGTTACGCAATGTTCAGATAGCATTGGACCGTTTCTTCGAAAAACCCTTTTTCGTCAAAATTCTTTGAGCGGGAGGTCATTTTATTGCTGGACATGCTTATTTTCCAAATACTTTTGCATATGATCATTTTTGCTGAGGAAGGAAGGACTTTTTGACGCCTTGCAGAAGCCCTTGATTAGAGGCTATTGGACACTGGACTTTTGGTGTTTCCACCGGTGACTCACTCTGGCTGAGTGCGCTACAAGCATGACAGCAACTTCCTTTTATGATTTCCATGCCAATGGCTTTCGCTCGGAACATACAAAGACAGCTGGTGGACCTTCATGTAGTTTGCTGTTCATCCCAGACAAAGTCAGCATTGTACGAACATCATGCAGTGCATTCGCTCAAGTTACACAAGCTACACTTCATTAACTGTATTGTTGGAGTTTCCTTAAGCTGTTCAACTTATAGCGGGAAACAGTTTAGGGACAGCAAACCATGAACCTAGTTCGCTCGTGTTGCAATACTTTTGACCCATTTATTTTGTATGTGGTAAAACTAGCTCTAATTGATAATGTTTTATAAGAATTGTATTCTCATTCCGGAGAAGGGAAATGCTGTCACGTATTTCCTTTTGTCAATTGAGGTTGGATACTGGCGAGGAGTAAATAGGAAAAAGCAAAATACTACGCTGATCTGGTTTTTTGTTGACAGATCACCTAGACGCAACTCAGATCCCGAACATGACCCATGTTGAACGGATTGGGAAGCTGGTGGATCTTGAACCAGCGGCCATTGTGAAAGGAATTACAACCAAAACCATCATCATCCAAAACGAACCCACGGTGAGTTTCAAAATTCTCTTCAAACCAAAGTTAGCAGTATACAAGGCGATTCTATTCCCTTGAAGGTGTCCAACCTAGCATACCGCGATGCCGTGGACGTCCGAGATGCCCTCGCCAAAGGAATATATGTCCGCCTCTTCGTTTGGATTGTTGGCAAGATCAACTCGGTTATCATTCATCCTGAAGCCGAATCATGCTCGTTAATCGGGCTTCTGGATATTTTTGGTTTTGAAAATTTCAATCACAACAGGTGAGATAATATGCGTTCGGGACAAACGCGATCATGAGGAATTGCAAAACATGCGAATTCGCTTTAATTTTGTCCTTCTAGTTTTGAGCAGCTGTGCATCAATTTTGCTAACGAAACCCTGCAACAGTTCTTCTTTCACCACATCTTCAAGCTGGAACAAGAGGAGTACGATGCGGAAGGTATCGATTGGAACCACATTGACTTTGTCGACAACCAAGACTGCCTGGATTTGATCGGAAAGAAGCCAATGAACATCATGAGTTTGATGGATGAAGAATGCATGATGCCGAAGGGCACCGATCAGACGCTCTTAGCCAAGTTTAACACTACCTATTCAAAAGATAAAATCTACTTGAAGCCCACACGTCACAAGACACAGTCTTTTGGGATCGCTCACTTTGCCGGGGAGGTTTACTATGACGTACAGGGCTTTTGCGAGAAAAATTACGACACTTTCTCGACCAGTCTGATTCAGCTCATCGAACTGAGTGGAAACAAGTTTCTCCGGAATCTATTTCAGGCTGACATAATCAGAATATCCCAGAATAATAAGCGATCTCCCTCGATTTCTGTTCAATTCAGGACCAGTTTGGAATCCCTAATGAAGACTCTTTCTTTGTGTCAGCCTTTCTTTGTTCGGTGCATCAAACCTAATGAACAAAAGAAGTCCATGGTATGTATTCTTGCGAACAGGAAACATATATATATTCACTCTAAATTTTCTGAAAAGAGGCCATAAAATATATCTATTCGAGGAGAGGTGACATAGTAAATTCTTCTTGCTAAACCCAGCCACATGATTAGGCTACCCAGCGGCATTGTATGATATGTAATTGGTAACCTCTTCAGCAACAATATTCTTTGATCCGTTAAGAGCACAAGGCCAAAAATATGTAATAGCATGGTGATGACTCACCATAAAATATGACTCACGTTTGCTGAATCTTGCAGCTCTTTGATCGGGGACTTTGTTGTCGTCAGCTGAAATACTTGGGAATGATGGAAACGGCTCGCATCCGCCAGGCGGGATATCCCATCCGACACGCCTTCCAGGAATTTGTGGGTCGATTTTGGTGTCTCGGCGGCCTTATCCCTCCTTCTAAGAGTGTAACTAGTCATGAAATGCCTAATTTCTTTTGTGTTTTGATTATGATGGAAATCTTTTCCTAATTTGAAACCCCTCTTAACAGGAGGATAAACAGGAGCGGGCAAGACAAATTTGCGAGAATGTGTTTGGTTCGTCGGGTGATTATCAGCTTGGGACGTGTAAAGTTTTCTTGAAAATTGCCGGCGACCTACACCTGGAGCAAGAACGAAGTCGAATCCTTAGAAATGTAACAATCGTACAAAGGCATATTCGAAGATGGTGTCAGCGTCGGCGAGCAGCAGCTATCGTCATGAAGCGTTTCCTGTTGGCGGCTGTGCGTCATGGGCGTTTTCGCGCCTGGAGAAATTTATTCTTAATTCGCTTTCGCAAGCTTCGACGACAGTTGATCCTTTTCCAGAAACTGTGGCGAAGCTACTTGGCCAATAAAAGTGTCAATAAAGAAGACCTTGGGGAGCAGAACCTACAGGTGACTAGTTGATGACGATTCATGCATGATGGCTTCTTTTGTTACAATAAGAAACCATTACCTCATGCAGAACTTCCCGGAGATCCCACAATCGGAAAGAACAGAGGAAATAGAAGGGACGATGGAAACTCCTGTCAGAGTAGATGAAGGTTTTCCACTCAGGGACGAGCCTAAAGGTGCAGCGGGGGAATGCAGGAAGAGTTGCCCTCCTGCTGTTGCCGAGGCAGAAGCTAGAAAAGGCGGCATGCCTCCGAAACAGAAGAAACCATCGAAGTTTCGGAGTCTTATGCGCTGGAAATCAATTGAAGGAAAAACGCCCAATGCGCACTCTGTAACATCAAGAAGTTTGTCAAACCCTTCAAGGAAATCTGCTCAGGATTTACGTATTCCGAGTATTTTCACACGTAAATCACGTTCAAGTTATGAAAGCCTGTTTAATGACCTGGCCGACTTTTTTAGAAATAGACAAAAAATGCCTACAATAATTAATGAAATTCAATCATTTCCGTCAAAATTTGAATAAGAACTTGAAAGAAAATCTCAAAACTTAAAACCAATCATGATGGATATTATTGATATCGTCATCGCTCAGTCAAGTAACAGCCCATTAAACTATGATGTCTGGCAAATAGCCTCCCTCACATTGATTTGATTTTCGATTTTTCGACTTTTGTACTGTTATTCCTATTCAAGCGCTGAGGGACTTTTATCTGCTTTCACACTGATCGAGTTCCTATGCTTATTTTTTTTAAATTTGTTTTTCTCCATAGGGTCGGAAGCTGCGAACAATGGCTGTCAACCTTCGACAACATCGAAAGCCGAACTTCCAGAAGACGAACTTGCCCCTGAATTGACAAAAGTTAGGAAAAGAAAGTCTGTAGCATTCTCTTACCGCCTGCTGAGGAGAATAGTGCAATCTATGGAGACATCTTCCAAGGTTTGTTCTGCATTCATCGTTTCTTTCGGCAAGATTTTCACTTGAAATACTTCACACAACAAGGAAAAATTAAACCTGCATGTGACAGGGAGGCCGTTGTTTTCACATTTCATTTTTTGCCAAGTTTATGCAAAAATTGCAACATCCGGCACATTTATATGTACCCCTCCTTGCTATCCACGTATATATTAAAGCTAGAGGTGCGCCGTCCACAGCGTACTCTGAACGGAGAAGTCGGCTACACCTAATGTATAAGTCGTTATATACTTGCATAATATTTTTCAGAGTTTGTTTTAGTCTTTCGACAGAGAGGATTTATTAAAACTGCAACTATTCGTTGGGACGGTGAGGATTGGGGCGGGGGAAACATCGAACGAGATGCAAGGCTCGTGCACTAAGCCTGGAACTAAACAATAGTGTCATGGAAAAATGAGAGATTTTGCTTCAAATAGTTTCCCGAGTTTTAACAATGAATAAATCGGAATTCAAAGGAAATACTCTCACAGGGAAACTAAGCAATGCCGGAGGCATTTTTAATGTTTTTGAATCATTATTAAAAATCGTTCTGCGAGCGGGACGGAAATATCCATTTTAAGTGACTTATAATTGTTCGAGCACTACCAAACCAATGATAAAATATGTTTTATTTACCTGTTATGGTCAACTTAACCTATAATTGTTCAATATCCTGATCCCAGGTGTTCCTGTGGGAGAATGTCCTACCCACAATGGAGAAAGCCCCACGAGAGGAGACGATGATAACGGCTGCTGTGATTTGTCTGAAGCTGAGACGGACTTAAAACCAGAATAATGGAACATCGGACAGCTTTTAATGGTTCAACCCTCACAAGCCACGAGTACAAACACCTCTAGCTTTCTTTCTACTCGCCCAACCTGATGACTTGGAAGCGAAGAGGCATTCCAATTTCCATTGGAATGCGTGTCTGCTTATCTATAGATGTATTTTCCGGAAATAATCCACCTTCTTTTCCTCGCTGCTATCTGGAATACTTGGCTGAAGATGCACTATTCATGCATGGTTGATTCTTTAATGTTATTTTTGAGCTTGGTTTGTTGAGTAATAGGAAGTTGAAATTGGAGATAAAAGTAACATTTGAGAAATCGGTGTTTCTCCTTTTCCCGACTGAATGATGCTAAGGAGACGTCACGTCATCCAGGAAATACCTCTTCAAGATACAACAATGTAGCAGACAAATACGCTGACAATGGTTTTAGATCGAACACGAGCATTAATTGACTAAATTGAATTTTGGAACAGAGGATTTTGGGAGACTCATGATCGAAAATTTCAGCGTCGTACTAACATGTATTCGCATGGCAACCCAAACAATAATGCAGTCAGTTTTTCTCAACGATATTCGGCATGAGTCCTTTCAAATTCCCCAATGATCTTTTCAGTTTCTGCAGTCTTCCCGCCACCCCCTTTTCCCATTCAATTTCGGCCAGGATAAATTTGATTTCGGCATTGACCGATTTAATTTTGGCAGCACTGAGAAATCTCCCGTTTCTGTGAAATGAGTGGGATGGACAGATAATGCACACAGATTGTTAATGTTCCTCTGTTACTAGCTGGTTACTGGAGATAGAGCACGCCATTTATGTATGTCTTCCTCCGCTCTCTAAAATCGACGTATAGAATTGGCAGCCTTCGTGAAACTGCTACATGAAAATTTCGCCCTTCTGGCGAAAAAAGTTTCCTGAATGTCAAACTCGCACCCTCGAACCTGAAATGAACTACATGGTGCAGAGTTCGTTTGCGTAAGTTCACTGCTATTATTAAAACCATTTACCCAAGATCCCAAAGCCGACGACCTGGATGGGCTACGAGAAGGTTTCCGACGTTCATGAAGCCCTTCGGTCTCAGTTCGTTTTTCAGGGAGGGCACTGCATGCCCTTAAAAGCTACCTAAGTAACACAAGAACGTTCAGGAGGACGTTCAACCCTGGCTCAAAGAGGTTCTTTGACGTTCACGGTTTAGGGATGAGGAGCTTTTGGACGCTCAGTTACAGTAAGGTGCCGCTTGATCACAAATACATGACGTTCTTGATGGACGTTCGTTGAACGTTAAAGAGGAACGTTAAAGAACGTTTCATTAGCATGACAGCTATCCATCTGACAGTGGCTAGAAACAAACAAAGCTTCACTTCATTGACGCTAGATGATGCTAAAAGTATCCACTCGAGCTAGTCATTACCTCGTACGCTGGAATTATCCTCTATCTCATTGAGGTGCCTGATCCTTTCCCAACATAGATGCTACAGAGGAAGACATATGAATTCTTTAACAAATCGATCTGACGAGGTCCTCCAGTCCTGCCATGTCCTGTGCGCCGTTGACGGTGGTCATACACTTACACAGAGAGAAATGACACGATATAGTGTTTCATTTGACGCACGTGTATGAGAGAATTCTTTGTATCGTTTGTGAAAAAATGTGTCAGAAGCGTTGACACATTTCAACTCGTCTACAGATGCAGTAAGATGTGTCAAATAACACACTGGAGGAGAGAATATCCCAACGGACACGCCTAATTGTGTCCCATGACATACTACAGTGTGTGTCCATTGATACGCTTGGATTAAAGCCTGGCGACACGGAATAACGTGTTATGAGGATGGGCACATTTAAATGTGTCTACTGATGCAGTAAGATGTGCCAAATGATATGTTTCAGTAGGTCAAAACTCATGCCACATTTTTCTGTGTCACCCTGACGATCCTGGACCCACTTTTGTCCGTCATTTGACACACTGATTTATTTATGTGTACATGCATGCATTTTTGATTCCGCCAATCCCCACTTAATTCGCTCGCGGTTCGAGCATGCCCAAGAAATTCTTCCAATGATCTCGACCCCAAGCAACAAACTCGAGCTCAGCTGGTTGAATGCCGAGCCTCTCGTGACAAACACAAGCGACGTGTTCGCTTCACCTTGTACGAAGTTAAACGAAAGGTCTTTTGCGTTTATCTTGACTTTTTGAACTCCTTTTTGAAGTCTCTCAAGGGGCATGCGGCACACGCGTCCAAACCATCTGACCTGAGGCCTCTCGATCCCGGGAGGCAGCTGCTCGACATGGAGGTTCTCGCTGATGACAGAGTTCCGCATCCGATCAGGCGGGCCACGTCAATCACCCGGCTGAAGAACCTCATTTTAGTAGCTCGTATCCACGATCTAGTTATTTCGGACATCACCGAAAGTTCATGATCATAGTTGAGAGTGGGGACAAAACGCTTTTAAAAACCAAGAATTTCGCTTACTTAGGAACATCCTATCTGGCAACCGTGGTTCGCTAATGTTCCCGCAAAACTACGGACGCCTTGGAGATGCGGCTGTCGATTTCGTTATCATGCTGCCCTTCATTCGAAAACCAGACCCCGAGGACTGCTTTTCAAAGGAGTTGCATCACCTCAAGAGGGAAGGAAGATTCCAATTGTTTAAAGGCAGGGAGCTTAAGTTACATTAAACCTCTAGAATATCACTTTGCTCTTTTTTTTTCTAGAAAAACGAGATAATATATAATGACGGTACCTCCGAGATAAGATATTCTTCTCGATCAGCGAACGCATGACAGTACTTCCCTTCGCACTCAATTGGGAAAAACGAGTCCAACATATTCCGTTTCTTCGATGCATCTGTCTTCTCGTGAATTTCAATTCTCCTCTTAGACTTAGCAAAGGTAAGGTGAATGTCATATTCTTCTCCCAAAGTCAAAAGTGTTCCTACTAACAACTATTATTTGAAACTGTTAGAATCAATATTCTTGTATCCATTGAAGTGTCACAAGATTGTCGCATACATTTTCCAAAGTTTCATCCTAAAAGAAAACACGTCAGGACAGCGTCAACATGGAAGAGAATAGAATTACTAGATACGAGTGATTGAGAGTCAGATGAAAGGGCGAAAGAGGAATACCATCACATTTACTGATACGGGAAGCCGATCCAGATCCAATAGTAGAGAAACGCATTTTCGTAGTATACATGATTTCCAAATCCAAACCAGGCGCATGCATATTTGAAAACCTTAAATTCTCTCCACCCTGCGACATAGACCTACTTCCAAGGCAGCGTACCTTGCCCAGCAAAAAACTCTCCTCCTATCACAAAACACACTATCGCCAACCAGCCCATAGATGATAGTGGGATGACGTTGAGGTATTGCGATCCATATGTATCCCCTCCCAACCGTTATCACGAAGATTGCGTTTTCTATTAACTTTATTCTAACGGATCTTCAGATTTCTCCCTACATTTGTCTTAACGAATCAAACATAAGAGTCTCAATTCAAAGCAAGGTTGTAATTGACAATTGAAAAGATCCCGTGCTGAAAGTGGAATGGAAGAAACGCCTTCGCACTCTTCTTCCGTATCATCCTGCCCACAATAAACTTCTCTTCTGTTCATTCTTTCGCTTGGTCATTTTCTAATTACTTTCTTGAACTGATCAAGTAATTGGCAAATGAAGCAATCAATGCAGACATAGGAAACTACCAGAACGTTTATTCGGTATGTTCTTCGATAACTTTAAATTTATTTGACTATTGCGAGAAATTTTGGTACAACTTGCATAATTCCAGAAGTACATGAAAGCCTAATTCGAAGATAACTGTCCTTAGCATATAATACGTTCATTTCTTATACATGTTTAAAGTTGCATTGGTACGACGATGGTTACTGCAAAAACTGCAAGAAGAACCGAAAATGCGGTTGTTATGACTCTATGAGTGCAGCTTAGCATCTTCACGGCTAAGTTATTCGTCAGCAAGCTTCAAATATTTTTGTGACTTAAATAAATCTGAAGAGAATACTTGCATTTGCACAGTTGCAGACTTGGAGAGAAGTTGAGAGGATCTGAGTGATCTCAGGTTGTTCCTCTCTCCTGGCTCGTTAAAAGTCATGGCCGATGTCGTCGCCAACATCCTTGCTCGATACTCGGATGAATTGCAGTTCATCAACTTTGAGGTCATCTTGGTTGACTTGAGGGTCAAGGGGATCATCAAACATCACGAGTATTTCGGCATTGTATACAAAGGAACGAGGGAAAAACTGTTGTTCCTTCAAGAACATCTGCCTCATAGAGGAGACGACGCATTCCCCACTTTTCTTGAAATCCTTCGCCACCGAAATCATGCCACGCTTGCCGACACGTTGGACAACGGTGAGAATTTCAAAATAAATTTGAAATCCGTAGGACACCTTCTCATAGGGTTTATCCTGCATTGTTTTCAAACTGAGTTGGGAACAGGACTTTTTCAGGAGAGGTACCAACTTGCCAAGGCATGCGTGAGAGTAGAATCCCTTCTCATTTCGATTCTAGGCTTTCAGGAATGACACCCACGTTCAACGTTTGGGTCAAATTATTTAATTACTTCACAGGCGCAACAAAAGATACAATGTAGAGGAGAATCATGTGCCAATGTTTATTTCTGTTTCACAAGAGGCTCCTATGGATTAGTCCTTAATTGTCATTCCATGACAGAGTGGAAGAAAGCAGGGGGGAGGAGAGCCGTGTGAAAGAAGCCTGTCCCTATTATGTGAATGCAATAAGAGGAACATCTCCATCATAAGGTCCGAGAGCCAGGAAAACTGTCATTCCTGAAATGTCATCGTGTGCTTCAGAGATAGTTTACCTCTTTGGTGCATCTTCAAAAGTGAATATAAATGTGAATTCAGGAATAAACTGTGTATATTGTGGAAGTGCATGCTCCAGTTCTCATTACGGTTGAAATGTGAGGTTTAGAGGTTCAACGCTGTTATTTCAGTTATTTTGTTTAACCCGTAAGCATACTTGGAGCAAAGGCTCATTCTAGTTCAAAAAACCAGCAGCAGAAGGTATATAATGACATGCACAAAATGCTGCTTAGCAGGTTGCATACAAGATTGACAGAAAGAGCGGAAAGACATGCCCAATGCTTTGATTCGAGGTTAAATAGTGAAATAGTTTTCGGCAGGAAAATATCGTTAAAAAATTATTATCATCATTGCATGATTAACCAGCAATTATTATTGCCTACATCATT